GGGCCTAGGACTCCAGAGCTGTGAGGCTGCAGTGCTAGCCACTGTGATACCACGCTGCCCATTCTGAGAGCAGTCAGGTAATAAAAAAACAAACAGGCAAAATGGTCTCCTAACCCTTGTAACCATTTTCAAGGTATTAAGAATTAAGAATGATTGCGTTTCTGTCTTGCATCTTTAGGTTCCAGGCTAGGAAAACTTCTATGTTCTGTTTGCAACAAACCTTTTCATTCTCACACACTATATATTGAAGTATTAACACTACTTTTGCATATATCATATGTCATCTCTGCTCATTATGGCAAATATATTATTCAAATATGGTTACACTTGTGCACACAGTATGCATCTTATAAATTGTTTAAATGTAGCCCCCCTGTTAAGGTTATCATTAAAGCACTTTGCCATTTTAGTTAAAATTACAATCCTCAAGTACTCCATTCCTTGTAATTTCTGGCTGAAATTTTTCCACTCGTTTAAGCCCTCCTCTTCACCATAAATGTATTCTCCCCTGCCAGAAGATGTTGACTCCATGCATTGTTTAGGAAAATGAAACTGGGAGAGGTCATTCCACTGAAATTGAAAGTCACCTTATTGTTATTATCGATCAATAAGCTATTTATTTCCCAGCATTCCTATTAACCTCTGTGAGCCAATCACATTTTCAATTTGATCAAATTTTACAGCCAGAATTGCTGACTGGACAAGTCTGACTTAAAATGTAACCGTGCTGTGACCCTGCTGCAGAATCCAATTAAACGAGTTCTTTCAGCTGCAGATTAATATTTGTCAATATTCCACACTTCATAACTGCCCCAGTAACTGTTGTCTTAATTAACAGTGTAATCACATTAATTTACCTTATAGGGGGAAGAATGTTTAAAATATGATTTTTTTAGGCTCTGCATCCCTCAATGATGTTCTGCCATTGTGTGATAACTGACAGTTTATATAAACAGCTAAACCCCTTTTCTTTTTATTTTGTATCCAAAATATGACGACAGTATCGATTATCCTGGCTGCTTAATTTCTCACCGTAAGGTTTTCATCATCTTGAGAGAGTGTGATACATCTTGAGATACACTAAGTACTGTAGTATGGGAAATATATTTGATTTAATTTTTTGGGAGTTATCCTCAGAAAATCAACTCATTTGTTTTATTCCTAGAATATCCTTATCCTGCTACAGTTGCTATATAATGCATCTCTTTTTGGATTGTATGCAGTTGTAAGTGAAAAAAAACAGAGCTGGGATTTGAGCCTCTTAATTGCAAAACATCGCTTGCTGAGCAAAATATAAGATACTCCATGCAGAACAACATTAAGCTCCTGCAAGCAGCTTGACCATGATGTGATATATATTTCACAATGATCCAGCATATTAGCAGCCCATTCCCATCCCTTTCTACTCACAAGACCCTCTGCTGAGGATGTTATGAAGGTAAAGCATTTGGTTATTATGGGGTAATGGTGTGTGGAATTGTGTCTCATGTTCCACGTGTTTTCAGTAGGATGGAGATCTGGGGGTTCTCGCCAGGAAGGATGATCGAAGTCTGGCACTGAGGCTCTTTGGTTCTGCAGAGTAAGTTTTACAGTTTTTCCTAAAATAATCAGAAATCAGTAAAGACGTGGAAAGAGAGTTTTAATTAATTAAGGAAACTAAAGACAGGAAGGGCCAGCCTTATTCAAGTTTCAAAGGTTCAAGACTCAAATTCAGATTTCTCAAAGTCAGCCTAGTGAACTCTGTTGTATAAACCGTGTAACATGAACCAGAGGTCGCAAGTGGAGATTACATGGGAGTCTATTTAAATCTAAGAACAAGAGGTCTGAAGCCTTGACTGCTATCAAAATTTCTGGGTAAGATCGTCAAATCAATTAGCTGCTAATTACCAAATGGGCTGGGTAAATTCCCATTTGTAATCTTTCCTGCACCTGGGATTCTTGGCATTGTAAATTGTCTTTTGTTTTAAATTGTATTTAAAAGCACATTCACATTTGTAATACTGATGTATAATGTAAAATGTAACATTAAGAAATTGATGATGCATAATGTATCATACTGAATAGTGATTTAATATTTGAATCAGGTCCCCTTGTTGCTGAGACGACAAAGGCAAGCTCTTGCAGCCTGTGAGTGTAGGACATTGGCTTAAGCCTGAAATGTACCTGGCCTTGAAGTAACAATGAGAGTTTAGCAAATGTATACATTTTTTTATTTCAGTTTCAGGTCAACTTTAAGACTCTTTCCTTTCCCTAAAAGTCAAGTTAATCTGAGACCATATGGTAAGTCTATCAGAGAAGCAAAGTTAGGCCTTTGCTTCTCATATTAAGTTGGAAGGGATTTGTTAGTTGGGCATTCTCTCAGAGAACAATTTTTATTTTTAGTCCCTTATCGGTTAGCATATGCCACATATGGTCAAAGTTTAAAAAATGCACTAAATGCGTGAAACATTCTGAAAGGATTAAAGAGCACTCATCCTACTTATATCTGAACACACAGCTCATAATCAGTGCTGCATTTTTTCTGCTCTGTCTGAGAAATAATCTCTGTTCTGCTGTTGCTATGACTATGAGTCAGGTCAGAGGTCAGCAGCTTGCATTTTGCATACCAAATGCCTGCAGACACAATTGTAAAAAACAGTTACTCGGTTCTAAGGCTTATCAAGTAGGTGGGCAACATTAAAGAGACCTGAGGGAAATTGGATGTTCTGAGATTTCCTCAAGTTTCTTTGCAGTCCTAGACAAATTTATTCCAGGTGACCGTAATAAAATTTCTCAGGGTCTGTTACTCAACAAAGCACGAGCCATTTTCAGCTCTTCAATTGAAACTCTGCCTCCAGTTTGTGCAACAACCTCAGTTTATTTGCAAAAATAAACAAACATTTTAGTATATATTAAATTAAATAGTAAAAAATATGACTAATATAAACCGCCGTATAAACGTCTTTGAGGTCTGTCATTTTTTCTGCTCTTTTTCTATATCCTATTCTTTCTGCAGAAACAAATAGCGTAAAAAACACAACTGTAGTATTTAATAGAAACTATAAAAAGCAAGTAAAACAGGAGAACATCTTCAAATTGTGGACGGTTTGAGTCCCTTTAAAGACCTTTTAAAGAGATCCGTAGAGCATGTCGTTCCCAGTTCTGAAGGAGACCAGCTCTCTCAGAAATGAGACAGTGGTGAGATTACTCTGTGAAGAAACCTGAAGAACTGTCATATGTTTGACAATTTGTTTGTCATTGTTTGACAGTGTTTGTTCCTTAAGATTACAGCACATGAAGGTCACTACAGGAACTGATGCAGGTGTTACAATGTGTCTGTATTAATCCTCAAATGGGAATTGTCACGGATGTCAGGAGGGCAAGCCGTAGAATAGCCAGTAGAGCAATAAAGACCCTATGCGTAGGGGCTAAAGGGGCTACATGGGGGCTGGCCCAGGCTCAGGGGGTCGGATGAGGTCGGTATAGAAACCTAAGCCCTCAGGCCATGGACGTGGGGTGACCTGTTGCTAGGCGGGTCTCAGGACATCCGTACCCTCAATGCTGAGCAAAGAGCAGAACGACACAGGAAGTAAATAGGCTGCACAACAAGACACACTGGAACGACATGAATAATCACAGGGAACTAGGAACAGGACAGGAAAGCGGCGCCCTCTAGCTGTAGAGGGCATGACAGGAATAGTATATAATAATAAGGTTCTGGAGTACAGTTAGATTTGATATGGACCTAGAAGTATTGAAGTACACTATCACTTCAATTTAAAGTTACTTGAATTTTTTGTTAGGCATTTACAATATTATATTAGACAGTGACTTAAAGGTAAAGTATTTGCAGGAATAGAAAAGATTGAGGTCTCCCTTGTTCTTTAAATAATATTGAATATGTTCACTTTTGAATATGATTCAGATGATAAGGGGTATATTCTGCGGCCTATGAATTAAAAAACAAATACAAAAACAAAAATGCCAAATACAAGTAGTCTTTTAAGCATTTCTTCATTAGATATTGTACTGGGATGTTTTAGCTAGGTGGTGCAATTTCAGCTGTCTAAACTGCTTTGTGTTCACAAGACTCCCGAAGATATGAGAATAGTGGTATTGATTAATTCTGACTGGATTTCACTCAGGATTAATAAACCCTACTGCACTAATTGACTATTGTTTTGGATCTGGAATATGGGGGTCATTCTGATGAAGTGAAAATGCTTATGCGTGATTGATCTTTCCAACTCTACAGTATAAAGACATTTTGCAATTGAAATTCTTCATATACAGTTTAGTACTATGATATGTTCCTTTATAGATCTCCATTTAAGCATGTGCTGATCCCCTTTAAACATGGGAAACTAATGTAATGATATGGCTTGGCTCCTTCTTCTAGACATCCTCAGTGTAAGTATGAGCATGAGCACACTTCCTCAGCTCCAATCAATACTGTTTGTCAATATTTTCCAGGAACATTATTTTGAATAATGAAGTCCCTTCTCAATTTCTTTTGCTCACATCTGAAGAAATTTATGGCAGTTATGTACAGTATGTTTATTCTTATTTGGACCCCAAATTGTTCGGTTTACTTTTATTTCACCTCTCTCCAGGGCAACAATGTCCATAGTGCCATGCACAAAGCAGGATTTTGGTCTTGAAACAGACATTCCAGGATGTTCTATTGAATGTTCATTACTTTCCTGCTGACATTCTTGCTGTTTTCTAAGGAATCCTGGTAACTTGCTAATAAGACCCAAGATAACAGCATGATTTTCAAAACCTTTTGTTCTATTTTCTTCTGTACATTCAGCTGTACTCATGATGTGGAGCTCTTTCTCATGTTAGTATTGTAGTTCACACTAGACTTTCAGAAAATGGGGAGTGTGTTTTGTTCTGGAGCAAAAATTACCTTGTTACTTTAAAGGCCAGAGGTATGGCACATTTTGTGAATCAGTAATTTGTTTTTCCACAGTGGCAAGACTGCATGCACCACAATGAAAGAAGAAGATGGACATAGGTAGGTTGCTCATAGTGCACACAGTGTCAAAATGCAGGTCCTAGGAGTTTTTACTTCTAATTTTACTCTAAATGTATTCTAATCTCCCTTAAAAAACTGCTACAGGGATGATATTTATAAACAATTGTTTTGTATTTTTATGTGTTTGAGTAATTGAATTAAAGAAAAAAGGAATTGAAATATTACACCTTTATGTTCGTTTGCTATGCAAGAAAATTAATAAAAGTTAACAATTATACACCCCCCCCCCCCATTTGTCAGAAAAAAATGAATCTTTTGTCTTAGGGATCTCCTATATTTTGTTATATCTTGTTTTAAAACTCCTCCAGATACATCGAGGTGAATGAAAATTCAGACCTCATGGCCCCCTTCACAAGAGCAGACGGAGGGACGACTTGATCTCTGATCCTAGAACCATTCAATGACTTTTTATTACTGAAGAAGAGTCGGCCAACCAGGGTTTTTTTGGACACCCATTTCCTCCTTGGCACTTCCGTGTGTGAGTCTAAATGTCCTCTTATTGTGCAATACTAGCTTTTGAATCGTGGCTCCTTCGAACAGGGGAAGAGGGCCATTTTGAGTCATGAACTCATTAGGTGTTATTACTGAAGAGTTTAAACTTGGGTTTGTTCAAGAGAAATATATGCAGTAGAACATTTTTAGCAGGCATTTGGCCCTGAAACATTATATGGAAATATTTTTATCAGTTGCCTTGTTTTTCTAGTGTGACAATGGTGGGCAATGCTTTGTACTGATTGAGGCCAGAATTTCAATTTCAAGACATAACCTTATAATAACTGCACTGCTTTTCTGAATTTCCCGGTGTCTGATGAATGCAGATAAAAGAGCAAAACAAAGTGGATTTTCTCTCAGGGATACCGTAATAATACCAAGGATGTCTTTATCGAGGCCAGAGGAAATCACTTTAGATTATTTAGGACTTTAGGCCATAATACTGTATCTTTGCACAAAGTGCTGTCACCCAGGGCTAATAAATGGGATTTGGTTGAGTGACCCAGAATCGACATGTGCCTTCAGTTTCCCTTGCTCACGTGTGGGACAGGAATTCTGAATCTAGAATATCATACAGAGAGTGAAACATTTGCTTTGGGAACTCCAAAGTAAAAGCTGAAAAACAAATCCTCTAAGGAGCTACGAAGAGCCAGCGAATGAAGGATATGCAGTGGAACTGACAATGCTGAATGTACAGACACCAATACCAAGTAAAAATATCGAAGAGAAAAATCTGATGTGGCTTTCCTATGATCTGTTATGCACATACCTCCCCTTTAGAAAAGAAAGCAACATCTATCAGTGTCAGGTGTGAGGTGAAAGCTGCCACAGGGCAGCTCTGACAGCAGACCGATTATCCAGTGGCTGTGGATCAGGCTTTGTCTACCTGTTGTAGGGACTGTGTCCTGTGCAGTACATAGAGTGACGAGGGAGACCTTCCCTCCTTAATGAACGGCTGTCTTTCAGCTGCCTCCTGCTTGGTGCACCAAAGCAAAGTCTTTTCCAATCATGTGGTGAAACAAAGAAGTATTTTTAGAACCCAGAGAGCAATGAAGCGTTAGCTTTGTTGGGCACGGAGAGTCAACCATTCCCAAGTCAGCGGTTTATAATGGCACCCCTGCTGCTCCACACTGCTGGTATCTCTCTCGCCATTTTTTATTTCACACATGGTAAGAATCCTCGAATTAGTTTTCATTTTTTACATTATTTTATTGAAGTCCTAATAAACTCTAACTCAATGATTCTCTTTTCAATTCAGGTTAGCCTCAAAACTAATAACTCCCAAGGACCTTGCTTTGTAGATTATGTATGAGAGATTTTTAAACATTTTTTAAAATCAGAGTAAGAGAATTGTATTTCTCATTATGCAGAAGCTTGGGAAATGTCCATAAAACCACCAATTTCTTTGTGAACATATAATATTGCTCACTGTAAACCTACTGCAGCTATGCCTAATATGCATTTGTATTTTACCAAAGAGAACACAAGAAATCAATGGATGAAAGATGAAAGTGGCAATTAGCTTTGTTCTGTATTGCCAGTTTGCTAGTAAGAAGAGTTTGAAATGAAAATGGTAGGTTATAACCCTGGTTCATTGAAAAGAAATGCAACCATTCATTGATCCACTGAATACATTTAAGAAGTTCATCCATTGGGACTCTGCTACATGACCCAACCCTTCTTGTGATGAGTTGGAGTGGCAGCTCATCAATATCATCTGTGAGGCTAATAGTGGAACCACTCTAAAGGGTAATGATTGCATTTTTTAAGAGAATTGAAGTATGACGATACCCTAGCTTTCCCTTACAGATCAAATGCAGTCATTACCTCTTGGAGAAACTAAACCCAAACTATTTCCAAACAGGAAAGCAAGCAGCCAGGCACCACAGTCACCTGTGGTCTAACCACAGGGTTCAGTCCTGAGGATGCATATCTGTTACAAAACAGGAGACACCACAGATCTGGATGGATAGAGGCTGAGGTGAATGAGGAGTCCAGAATCCCAAAGAAGCTTCAGGACTTTGAAAGCAGGAGTATCATCAGCAAGCACTATCATCCATCTTGAGACCTGAGAATTTTTAAGGGCTTGAGGATTTAATCTCCCGTCCAGACGCAAGATAATGTCAAGATCTTCGAGAGCACAGTCTGTTCGAGGTCTACTCCCTGGGCACAGCAGGTATTTGTCTTGAGGTGTGTTTAATCCTTGTGGAAGAGAATCCTACATTGAGACCTGACAAGATATCATGCCAAAGACCCTCTTGAGGCTGCAAGAACCTCTGCTACCATACTGCTGACAATGTTATAGATGTAGAGAATGTCACTACCCAGCTGTGGCTGAGTTGACCCCAAATAGTCAGGCTAATATTATTTAAGTTGTATGGGCTGTGCTTGACCTAGATATCAATGGGTTATGATGAAACAACAGCCCTTGATTCTTGCCAGGCACCTGTGAGATTACAGTGTACCAATGAGCACTGCATCTAAATGGGATCTGCTCCCAGGTCAGCTGGTTTTGACACTGTACCAGAAACATGAGAAAGAAATTAACAAATTTCACTGTGTTAATTAAAATAAAGCACAACTAGCTGTGACTCAAGGGAGGGTTTGACAACCTGAACTACAGCATACTTCCAGAATTTATGAGGTCATATTGGCAAACAGATCACAGAAGCTATTATGGCCACTTGTCAAGGCAAGACCCAGTGGTTCTAATCACTGAGAGCTGCAGGCAGAACTAAGACATTACGTATTGTAGGGCTTTAGAACATTGAAATTCCTTTTTACTCAGCAATTTCAGCATCACTTTTTGAGCATTTATTCCCCTCAGAGATGTATGGTGGAGCAGTGCCAGCAGTTTAGCAAGCAGTACAAACTGTTCGCAAACAGGCTCTTGCAAGTACTTAGTACAAAATATCTAAACTCTCTTCAGTGCAGGTTAATTTCATTAATCAAATGTGTACACAGCACAGAGTGAGGGAAGCATATTAAAACAATTCTGATCTGCACAACCACCGGATTCCCATTTGTAGGAAAACATTTATCTGAAACAGAGTTACCTGAATTGTAGCAAAACCTGCTTAAGTGCAATACTCCTTCACTTTGACAACTTCCATTCCTGTGGGATTTCATAACTTAGGACAGCTTCTGAACCAAGTACACCTGTTCCGCTCCTGCATGCTATCTGTCCTTTAGGATTTTTAATTAGTAATTAAACCTATTAATTGAAATTCAATTAACTGTTTTTTGAAACCTTGGAAGGGTTTATGAGTGTTTCGGTTTTTCTAAAAGCTGAATTTAAGGACTCATCTCATAAGTACTGCTCAATGCCCATGTGTTTTGGATCAGAACAATACTGAACAGTGCTCCCGGTTAGTAGAATAAAAGGAGTAATTGTTGGGTGCTGGTACATACATGATCATACTTGTGACTGCGGAGGATCTGATAGCCTGTGCAGACAGAGGGGTTCATCTGCCTTTGTATTGGTGGGGCTGCAGGATACAGGTTGCAAACTGTGACACATAACAATTTTATCAATAATGCATCTAGTCTGCACTGGAATGTTGCAAAAAAGGTGGCTTAAAAAGCCACAAAATGAATATGTACATACTGTAGGGGCAAATAAGAGGTGGGGGTGATAGCTATTTTGTATAATTTATAATATGAAAACTCATATCATAGTGTCAATATCACTTTTCCCTGCAACTATCAAAGTGGTAGAGGTCACAGAGCACAGAAAAGTTTTCAGTTAGAGTGACATTGTTCTCAGCATGTGATCCCAATGGGCATTTCAGCATTGCTGAATTCCGGCCATAGCATTTTGGGCTGACATAATCTTTTCAGCAGCAAACCCCTGTGACATGAGTCATGTGTTACAGCTTTCCTGTGCAAACACTGTATAGCAGGGAGACTTGTGCATGTCTGGTCACCTGCCTGAAGCTGAAAAAGAGCCAGTCTAACTGCTCAGTACCTGTACAAAATGGTACTTAAAATTCCACTCCATTGACATAATACATAAAGATACATTTGGCAGTGGATATTTTAGATGCTTGTTATGTAGAAATTACACATTTGGATGATGTCCTTCAGAGTAAGAAGAACTGTTTGCAGTTGATATTGTTAAGAATTTCCCATACAGTCACAATTATGGAACAAATGTAATAGCACAATGAGAGGCATTTATGACTTTTCAAATCACAATGACAGACATTTCATTTTAGATTTAGAAGTGAACGTGTTGCTTATTAACTTCATAATGTTGCATTAAAGGACGGACGTCTTTTGATTTTCAGCTACTTTTCCTTATTACTTGAAACTCTTTTAGAGAAGTAAGCCAGACTGGGAAAAAAATATTTAAAAAACACATTGCATCTATTTCGAAATTAAGAGAGTGTTAATGAGACTGGCTTTTATATTACAGAGACAACTAAATTAACTAATTAAAAATGAATTAAAGTATTTTTAAATATTTTAAACAGATTCTTTCTTATAATTTCCCATTTACCATTGGAGCTTTTTTTCTTTTTTCTTTTTTTTTTCCGTACTTAAAAAAAAAAGTAATGTTAGCATGCCCAAAGGGGTTGGGCAACCAGTTATCTTCTGAACCGTTTTTTTTTCTCCCTACTAAGGAGATTTTGGTTCCTCTCCTCTGTTGTCTTCTGGTCTATTGTTCTGTATTGACACAATGTATCGTCACTTGCATTGTTAAGCACCTTGGGGAAACCTTGTGAATGCGGTATAATATTCATAGGCTAATTGTCTTTCATCAATTGGTCAAATGATGGCAGGTTATTTCTCGATTGCTTTTTCAGCCATTTTGTCTTAAAAACCCACCATCTCAATTCAGAAGAAACAGTTCTTTATTCTTTATTCAAACACTCTGGAGTGAGTGACTTTCCAGTATTTTACAGACGTCTGATAGAAGCTCAGAATCCAAAGACACATCATCTGACAAGATCAGACTGTAAGCGCTGTCCAGCAATGCTTTGGAGTATGGAGTATGAATATGGAGTGGGAAATTTATAACAGTTACACAAATTTAGCAGAGTGTTTTTTTCACAGCAGCCTTGAGACAGCTGAGATGACGTACCTGTCTCTTGAAAACCCTACTTACCAGCACCGCCGCAGGAGATATGTAAGTTTAAATATGAGAGTGGAAAATCATAGCTTATATACAGAGAACAGCACGTTTTACACTTTCCAGTTAACAACCTGGCAATAGCTCAGGTAGGCAACCTTACATCTTTCACATACACATCAACGGAGCTTGTTGACTCCGGTGATCTGACATTTTGGATAATGTACACTTCTTTTATGGCCTCAGACTTTCTCTATTGGAAGTCTCTGAGCTTTGGAGTTGCAAACTAGCACAGGGCTGGTGAAACTTGTACAGCCCTTAAAGAGCCAGTGATTGACTCCAAAAAGCTGCTATGTTAAAGATAATATTATACATATTGCATACAGTATACTCTATATTATACATCCAGTATACAACATACTCATGGAGCTTATAATTTAGTGAGCCAATTCAGTACAATGTTCATAATGGTGATCTGTACCTTTTCCCCTGCATTATCTAAACTTCTGGGTCAATTACTATACATTTCCTTCTACAACCTTCCCTAATTACATAAATCTCCAAGCTTCATGAAGAATATTATAGGGAAACATCTGAGGGTTTCACCAGCAAAAGCTTTATCATTGCCTTCACATCCCCCCACCTTGGAATGAATCAACAGAAATTCACTACTAATTCTCTGCTAAGCATAGATCCCAAACATGTGTTAAGTATATCATGTATGACTTGGTCCAGCAACTACCATATAAACTCTTGAAAGGCTCAATATGACTGAATGTCTGACAAACCCTCTGAGTGAAACATCCCCTGGCAGCTTGCATAAACTGAACTTTTTTGTGCGACAAATATATCCAGTCAAAGGCAATCAACATTTAAAACAATGATAGTGTTGTGGCAATAATATATACAAAAAAATGTTTTTTTCCAGTATTACAACACTAAAGAATAACATCACTAAATGTATTCAGTGTAATCCTGAGAAGTGTCTAGGTGATGAATTGGATGTCATATGTTTGATTTTGTTCAGGTGTTAACCAATGAAGGAAGCAACAACTTGCCACGGTCTGAGCAGGGATGAAGCTCTTAATGAAGGAGGAAACAGAAGTGCTATGGGTGCTAACAGGGTTTTCTTAAAAATAAATTTTAATATTTTTGGAAGAATTCTCTCTGTTGTATGTTTTATTATTTAATTATTTCCAAAGCACCAGTGACTCACAGTTAACAGGTTGTGAAACGAATCTTTGTCAAAGGCAGTTAAAAGCTTTTCTCTTGATTAGACTTGACATACTGTAGCGGCATTTCGAAGCCAGAATGATTTTCTGTCTACCGTCTAGAGAGGTGAAAGGTCATTTCATTAAGAATGATCTGTAATGCTCTGCATTCTCTTTGTCTGTTTTAAAAGACAGGCAATATCTGTTCCATTCCTCACTGTATTTTTTCCTAAGTGCCAGTAATAGTGGAAGTTAAAGTAATTCACCAAGGCTGCATTTTTCCAGTCCATTCCTTTACTTAAACTAGCAGTCTTACTTTCAATAAATGTTATGCAAAGCTGCTTAATTTATCAGGCACTGCAGCTGGCAAAAGAGTGATGGACAGAAATTAAAAATGAGCTAATAACCTCCTCACACCTGACATTTCGATAGGGTTTTCTGGTCACCATTATCTACATATAGATTAAAAACTGTAATTGGATGAGAGATAGGGCTAGAAAAAAAATCAACCACCTCTAAATCATTAGCTTGTATTTGAGTGACACTTTGATTTTTTTCTCTCTAATACGACAAAATTGAGTTTAACTAAAATACCAAATGAATCTAGGTTATCTTAAAATACTTATTAACAGGGCAAATATTGGCTGAGAAAATAGCTTGATTGTATAATAATGAGTTCTTGTCAAGATAAGCCTTCAGCAAAAAAGAAAGAAAGGCAAAGCACACAGTAGCCAAACAATACAAGATATAGATTTGAAAAAGGAGACTGAATACCATTTTTCAAACTCAAACTGGATTCTCGCCATCATAAATAATTTATTTTCACAGACCACCTTAAAGTTTTTTAAATCAAAAATATTTTTTAACGAATTAAAGATGATATAGGGAATAACAGAGTAAACTACAATAACACAATGGCCTCTCGTATGTTAACACCCGATCCAGGCTTGTTGTGGTTTAAGCACAGCTGTGGGCTGCACGAGTAAGGACAACACAACAAGAGTCAAGAGTGGCTTCCTCGGGGGCAGGAGTGCAGAGAGGAGCAGGGCTTTCCTTTTACCCCTTCAAATGTAGTCACATGAAAGACACAAGATCAAAGCAGGTTCACAGAAAATGTTATCAACAGTAGTGACACTCTTTATCCCCATAGCTCCACGACTGCACAAAGCCTTCAAAAGTGCTTCTCACATGTCATCTTTTTTCTGGCAAGACTTGAAATGACATGCGGGTTTCATTCCTGTAGCTGGTTTTCATTGTAGCTAGGCTGGTCACTACTGAGTCTCTGAGCTACCTCTTTGCGTTTATTTTAAACTGTTTTCTAGCCCAGTCCTTGGTTTGATAAATGCCTTGCTGTGCATGATGTATGACCAAGTATTTTAACTAACGGTTCTATGTTTATTTTCTCCTCTGCTTTCTTAATAAATGAATTTCCCTAAAGCTGTCAAAAACAACTTCCACTATGTGAACAATTATTGATGTTCAGATACAGGTGCATTAGACCTGCCTTAGACATTCCTAGAATATTAGCTTGTGTTCTACATGGGCCCCAGTTCCTTGAGTTCCAAACTTCTAAGAGTGTTTTGTAACTCGCAAAAATTTGTATAGGGTTTATGCTAGCTCATAATGGCTTCAGAAGTTCCTGAAAAAAAAATTCAATCAAACAAGTAGTTCAATTACAATTTTTAATTAGTCTCAGTAATTAAAAACTCAGCTGGAATGAAAACCAGAGGCAATTTCCAATATAAAAGAAACCGTATCTTAGCAATAACGCACATGGAACTCTGTTATGAGACTTAGGACATTGTAAAGCGTTAAGTGACCCAGTTAAGGTTTCATATTCCTATGAATTAAATTTTTAAGTTTTATTTTAAATTTGCGTTTAAGTGGGTTAACAGCTTGCATGCTTTGAGAAAGCTGCAGTTGACCTAAGTGACCGGACGTTTGGGATGTCAGGTAGAAGGGATTCTTGGCTCTGAAGACACAACACTACTTACCACCCAAACTGAAGGTCTGTAACATGTCTAGTCACGGGAGGAAGAACCGAGCATGGACCATCACGAAAAACCTACACCCACTGAGAACATGTCAGAGATCCTTTGAGTATGTGTAGTGTATACCCCTGTTTGTGGTCAAGAATTGCTTGACAAGAGGATCACAGATGCTCTTCCTAAAACATCTAATATCTTGGATGTTAAATACCTGATTTGAAATCTAATACCTGATTTGACCTAAAAACAACTCAAACAATTTCTAAACTAGGAATGAGGCTAATGGGAAAGAATCTCCACAAATGCAACTCCTGTCAATGGATGTACAGTAGCAGGAGCAGAGACCAATGTGTGTGGTGCAATGCTACTACCACTACACCCTCAACATCAACTTAAGGGAAATACAATTTCTACAATGCATATGGTTTAAAAAAAAACACAGGGTCAAATTGGTAGTTACCACATGACATACAGTAAGCTACAACAACCTGTGAAAACAAATCCTTTAACAAGGGGGTGTTAAAGGAAATTTCAGTGAGACCTTAGCAGTGACTTTTGCACATTTAAACCAGTAAACTTTAAGGACACGCCAATAAGCAAAGTTGACCTGATGCTTTCTGACCTTCTTTCTGTCATGTTTTAGTGAAAAGAAAAGCATTGAAAGAAATCAGGATCTAATGTGATCTTAGCAACTTGACCATGAAATTCCCTAACAGTTCCTTCACAGAATAATGAGCCTTAAACAAGAGATTGTAAAGTTCACTTATGGGCTAGCTGAGACAGACATCAAGCATAATGCAGAATGCAGCGACTGTCCGACTGTGTTTCTACATAGTATCAGGGACTAGACTCAAAGCATTGTGACTTACAAAGAGATCTCAAACCACTTTGTCTGATGTTATGGTATCCAATGAAGGACTGGAGACAAACTGCTGAGGTGCTTTGTAAATTTTCCACATTTTGCAGGAGGCGGTTGGCGGTATACAGTGCTCTTAAGTTCTCATCAAGAGCAGTGTTCACGATTCTGAAGAAGGACCTGCAGAAGAAGCAAGCATTTGTATTGATGGAGAGCACAAGAGCTGGCACGACGAAACTGACAGCCTGGAGTCACTGAAGGTCATCTAGCAGAAAATGTGCTTGCCTGCTTCCTCAGTGTGCCTCAGATAGAGGAACAAGCAGATGGAACAGGATTGCCATGACAACTGCAGTCTGCCAGGGTGGGCATGTTTGAGGCTTAAAACATCTTTGCAGGGATGAGTGGAACGAAGTTCTGAAACATTTGCCCCTGCATTATATATGCCAGTTACATGTGCCTGTAGAACAGCAGTAGGTGGTTATAATGCAATGCATACTACAGGACTAATTTCTCAATCATCTTTGATGGGTGGCTTCTATTTTGTATGTTGACTACTGTCATTGGCCACATCTCTGCTCCACAGAGTAATGAAGTCAGACAACAGTTTCATATAATCTGGTTTTGATTTTTATATTGCACACTTTACATATTTTCATATGTCATCCAATTAAATAAGCTGTTGCTTTGCCCAGCCTTGTTCAGATTTGTTTATCGCAGCTGCTGCTGTTCATAATTATGCTACCACAATTATGACAAAATGTCAATGTTCTTACCACCCACTGTCATGCTACACTAGGCGTAGCCCTCCACCCACCAACATCCATTTTTTTTAGAATGATTGAATACACATACATTTGCAACAGCATCTTTAATGTGACTTTTTAGTTCTTCCATCCATTCCCATTTTGTATCCAGATGCACAATATCATTAGCAAAGTCAAGATCAGTCACTCACTGTTTATCCACTTCAGTTGTAGATGAATTTCATTTGTAGCCTTTCTGTTCACACAGCCATTTATTAGCATAAATATTAATGCAGATACATATCTGATGCACATCTTCATCATAATTCTGTATCAATTTTGAGCCAATCCATTATTTGTCCTCCATTTCTGACCACATGCTTAATACCCTAGAAACTTGCAACACTGTTTACTTTGTATTAGAATGTCATCATTCATCAATATTTTCCATACTAAATCTCAATCAGCACTATTAAAAGCCTTCTTGAAATCAGTAAAGTTAACTACCATTGGCTTTTTTCCCACATAAAAACAAAACAACAATTTCAAACGAAAGGTGGCCATTTGACCCATATAGCTCATTTAATAGTCAGTAGTTTCTTGATCCAAGGAGGTCTTCCAGTTGTTTTTTGAAAAGAAAATCATTGTGTCGGCTTCAACAACATAGCTGGGTAGCTTGTTCCATACTCCTGTAGCCCTTTGGGTAGAGACGTGCCTCTTGTCCTCAGCTTTAATTTCACCTCAAGGCAGTTTTCAGTTGTGACCTTTGGTTCCTGTTTCACTGCTCACTCTCTTTGTGCATTCCTTTGAGGATTTTGAATACTTGTATCAGGTCCCCTTGTAGTCTAAAAAGCCTAAAAAACTTTGGTTCCTTCAGTCTTTAGGATATTCCCTTAAGTCCCAGAATGCACTGTAACATCCTGACATTCCATGTGGTAAGATGTGTGTGCATAGCTGAGAGAATCTGATTGCTCAGGGCTTGACTTCAAAAGCTTTCATCCCAGTCCTTCAGATGTGAACTCCTGGCTTTTTGTAAGCCATGGGTTCCATAGGCGTCTGACAGCTGTTCTTTGCTGGAAGTGTATTGTCTTTGGTTTTCATGTGTTGAGTCTGTCGCTATTACCCAGGTGGGTTGCAACTATGCAGCCCCTACAAGTGGAGTTCTGTAGCGACTCCTTTATCCAGGTTTTGCATTGAACAGATTAAATCACCTCATCACCGGAATCCCATCAACTCTCTTATTAATGAGTTGATTCTATGCTTAGACAGTCAAAGTCACTCAAGTGCATCACGGCCAATCTTGAATGATCATTCAAA